AGACTCTTGAATTGCTCAAGAGTGGCAAAATAAAAAATGTCTCAGTTCAAACACTCTGAATGCATCCTTCTGCATGTGGATTGTGGTAAGTGTGATGAAGATAATATGACTTTTAGGCAAATGGGTCATTAGGTGGTGATTGGGCCACATGGATGTTGGTCAGGCCTGGGAGGAACAGGGTCTGAGTGCCCTGTCCCCCCAGCAGCACCTGGGGCAGCCTCTTTCTCCTTTAGTGAGTTTGGGCTTAGTGCAGGAGTGTGGCTTTGCTGAATATGGACCTGGGTTCAAATATCTTCTTCATCATTTACTAGCTTTGTTGGCTGTGTGATCTGGGGCAGGTCACCTGGCCTCTTTGAGTTTCCTCATTTGAAATATCGGGATGATAATAATATCCACAGTCCCTGGGTGGTGCAGACGGTTAACGCGCTTAGCTGCTGACCGAAAGCTTGGAGGTTTGAGTTCACCCAGGGGTGCCTTGGAAGAAAGGCCTGGTGATCTACTCCTGAAAAATCAGCCATTGAAAACCCTATGGAGCACGGTTCTACTCGGACACACACAGCGTCGCCATGAGTCCAAATTGACTCGACGTCAAATGGTTAATAATATGCACCTTACAGGACTGTTGTGAAGCTTAAATCAATGCCTGACAGACAGTAGGTGCTCAATAAATGTAACCGTCATTAGATACTACAAGCATCAATTAAGGAAGCTACTTTATCTGCTGCTGTAAAGAAAGAAGACCCCTCCCCCCATCCATTTCAAAGCCAAATACCCCAGATTTGGGGTAGGCCACTATTTTGGATTATCCAGGTAGACCACAGGGTTAATTTGGGAAGACTTCCTGGAGGAGGGGAGTTTAAGGCCAGGTAAGGAAAGTGGAAGAGATATGAGTGAAGAGCAAGGGGAAGAGGGGTCCCATATGTGGAGGCCCATGGAGGGATGGCATAAAGACTCTAGGCCGACTCTGTCTGGGTGAGCACGTTTGTGAGGGTGCCAGGCCCTGGGACAGGCTCAGTGGGTTGTGGTCAAGTGACTCAGAGCCCTGCCTGTCCTTGTCCCCAGGACTGCGCCCGGGGCACGGCTAACTGCATAGTGTTCAGCTGCCCACTCTACAGCTTTGACCGTGCGGCTGTGCTGCAAGTCTGGGGCCGCCTCTGGAACAGCACCTTCCTGGAGGTAAGGGCTCCGCTGGGACCCCAGGCTGGGCTTCTTCTTCCACAACGGCCCCTGCAGGGCTCCCTTCTCCTTCACCTCCTCTCTGTCCAAATGCAGCACATCCTTAACCCAAGGAGGTAGAAACACCCTCTGTGTAGGACACCATTCCACTTATAATTTCAGGAGCTGGATGGAAGGGAGGGGGACATGGGGACATTTAGGTCTTGTTCCTTTCTCGCTTAGGAGTACTCAGCTGTGAAATCCCTGGAAGTGATTGTCCGAGCCAACATCACAGTGAAGTCCTCTGTCAAGAACTTGCTGCTCAAAGATGCCTCCACAGTGGTGAGCTGCAGGGCTGGGGGCGTGGATGCTCTTCTCTCTCGCTGCCTCCTGCTTTTGCCCCACTAACCCCTTGCTCCCTAGATTCCAGTGATGGTATATTTGGACCCGGTGGCTGTGGTGGCAGAAGGAGTCCCTTGGTGGGTCATCCTCCTGGCTATACTGGCTGGGCTGTTGGTGCTGGCACTGCTGGTGCTGCTGATGTGGAAGGTGAGGCCTGGGGATGGTGGGTCAGTGGGGGCTGGGCTTCCCTGTCAGGCAGGTGGCTTCTCTGTGTACTGTGGTTCCCTCACGACCCACTCACTCATTTATTCAGCAAATATGTACTGAGTACTTACCCTGCATGTACCAGGAACTCTTCCTCGCCCTGGAAGTTTCAAAGATACATCAGATGCAGATCTTTTCCTCAGGGATTTTGCAGTCTAGTGAGAGAGGTGAGCTTTGTAGTTAAGGACTAAGAGTTGCTAAGAGTTGAGAAAGTGTAGTGGGGGTTCAGAGGATGGAAGGATTGAGAGAAGCTGCCCTGGAGCTGGGCCTTAGAAGATGAGGTAGTAGGATTTGGATGTGTGGGGTTGGGGTTGGTGGGGTCTGAGCCTTCTAGAAGGACCATGGACATAGGGAAGCGTGGTCTGATTTAACTAGTTGTGGCAGGTTGGCTGGAAAAGAAACTGAGGCCAATAAGGCCAAGAAGGATGGAGAACTACCACCAGAGAACCGCTTCCAGGTCTGAACTTGGAACCACCACATACTGGAACCATTCTTGTGCACACAGAGCTGCATACAGAATCACACTCACATCGGGGGCACAACACAAAAGCTCACACATGCACGTGTTGGCTCAGAGAATCACATGCATCACCAGAGCTCACACCCAGAACCACATGCCACATCTGGGGCAGGAGGTAGAACCATGCATATCCTCGGGGCCAGACAGAGGCCTTCCCCTGCCCCCAGCCACCTACTCCTTGGGACCATTCACAGACCAAGAACACACTTTGGCAAATGTGAGTCATCAGTGGAGCAGGCCTCTGGAGTAGCACCCAAATTGTTGGGAACCTGGCCAGTTTAGGGGAGATTGAAGCCTTCATGAAGCTCACCCTAGGATCTCGGCTCCCTGCTCCCAGAGAAGGGAAATGGACTCAGATAAAGTCCCGCATCTTTCCTCAGTCTTCCCATCCTCTGCCTCTTTTGCCCCCTTCCCCCTCGATATCCCAGTGTGGCTTCTTCCATCGGAGCAGCCAGAGCTCATCTTTTCCCACCAATTATCACCGGGCCCGTCTGGCTGTGCAGCCCTCGGCTGTGGAAGTCGGGGGTCCAGGGACTGTGGGGTAACTGTGGTGTGCATGCACATGTGTGCGTGTGCAAATATGTGTCTGTGTGAATATGTATGTATGTGAGTATAAGTAGAGCTCCCAGCATTCAGGGGTCATGCGTGTGCAAGATGAAGAAATGAGATTGTGTGAGGATGGTGTGGGTCCCAGGAACTGGGGTGGGAATTAGTTAATTTTAAGGCGGGGTAGGTTATAAGAGTGAATATACACAGCCTTGGGCATGCACAAACAGTTGGATGGGCCCATGGAGTGTGAGCATGTAGGAGTGTGGGAGGTGCTGTGCATGTCTTTCCTGTGGGCATGAGTGTGCAGAGACGACTGTGCAAGGAGATGCTGTGCAGGAGCATGTAGGAGTCTTGGCAATCCTGGTGTGAGTGTCCAAGGGGCACATTTTCACCTTGGAATGTAAGGGCCAACATGTTCGTGATTTAGGGAGGGGCTAGACTACCATGTTCATGGATGAGCGAGCCCTTCCGTAGGGGTGTTGCTGCCTAGTGTATGAGTGTACAGGAAGTGTGTGTCTGAGCTTTAGGGGAATCATTCCAGAGGATGCAAGGGTCTAGGAAGCAATTTTCTTCTTCAGATCTCATTTGTGTTCTGAGGGAAGCTATTGGGTCTCTTGAAAGCTTGGGTGGGTGAAAACCTTTGGGATCAGAGGTCTGATGGTCTGCCTTCAACTCCCTCTTCCAGGGGCCAAGGAAGATGTCCTTGGTCCTGCATTTTGGGCCCCCTTCCTGGTCTCTGAATGTGAATTAGAACCAAGGATCCAGCACTGATGGTGGGGGCTGCTCACTCACTAGGTGCCGTCTAGCTTGTCCCCTTTCTCCTGCAGTTGGTTCTTTCTGTGCCCGGGATGGTGAAGGCAAGGAGCTGTGCTCTGCTGGGCATCTGCTCCAGGGGCCTCAGCCCTGCTGGCTCTTCATGGTCTGGCCTGGTGTCCTTACAGATGGGATTCTTCAAGCGGGCTCGGTACCCCGAGGCCACAGTGCCCCAGTACCATGCGGTGAAGATCCCACGGGAAGACCGGCAGCAGTTCAAGGAGGAGAAGACAGGCACCATCCTGAGGAACAACTGGGGCAGCCCTCGACGGGAGGGTCCTGATGCACACCCTATCCTGGCTGCAGACGGGCACCCTGAGCTGGGCCCTGACGGGCATTCTGTGCCAGCCACTGCCTAGCTTTCTTTGTCCCAGCCTGGCCCGTGGGTCGCCTCCACCCTTCCCCTAGCAATGGCTGCTCGGGATGAAGAGGGTAGAGTGGGCTGCTGGTGTTTCACCAGGATTTGGCAGAATCTGCTTCCTCAGGGCTGTGGACCTCTCCTCACCCCCACTAGGATCACCCCCGCACTTCCCCCTGGAATGCTGTGCAACAAGAAGGGGTAAATCAGGGATGGGGCCGTGGGGTAGGGGGAGAAGGGTGGGGATGCCCTGACTCAAAGGTGGGAGAAGGGACCCTAACCATTGTCGCTCCCATTCACCCTGTGTAACAGGACCCCAAGAACCTGTCTCCCTCAAAGTGCCTTAGCTTAGAGGGCTGGGGAGGAGGATGCATCGCTGACTCAGGAGCTCCTCCCTCCCTGCTTCCCCCCTCCTCTGGCCTTAGTTTGCTGCATCAGTCTAGTAGGTTTCTTCTATTTATTAAAAAAATTTGAGATCAAAAACCTTTGGCTTCTTTACTGAATTCTGCTTCCGTGTCCTGGGGTTTCCAGGGGAGGCCTGATTCTCTCCAGTACCCCTATAACTCAGATACAGGTGCTAGTGGGGAGGATGGGTCAGGTGGCCTGGCAGGGACACACATACCTTTTGGGGTCAGTCCCTAGGGGCACATGGGTGTGATGGCTGAAGGAGGGGAGGGGGACTTTACCATGGGCGTGATGGAAAGGGAGGGGAGCTGGCCCAATGGGTGGGTGTGCAAAAGTTGTGAGAACCAGTCCAGAAATTGGCAGTTAAGGACATGACAGGGCATAGCTGCTCTCTCTGTCTCTAGATAGGGTAGGAATAGACCTTTTTCACTGTGGAAGGAGGGATTGCAGTTAGAGATTCCTGCTGGCAGAGGTGGGAGAGAGAGGAAATAGGGGGTGACGGTGTGAATGGCTTGCCTCTGCCTAGATGGTGGGATTGTTCTGACTAGGGGCAGGGGAGGGAGGGAGTGGCCACATTTGGGGCTTGGGGAAGGGTTATTTCACAGCTTTCCCCATGATGAAGGGCCCAACAGGTAACCACTTGCAGGGAGGGGGTTGTCGCTCCATTTCGAGTTCAGAGAACTGGGCGCTCTCCAGGTCCTTCCAGGTCTCTCTGGTGAGGCAGCATCCATCCGCCACGTGTTTCCAGGTAGGCTCTAAAACTTGCTGCCACATTAAGGCCCAGCTTCCACGTGGCTCAGCCACATGCTCCCAGAAAAAGAGTACTCCTCCCTGGGAGGGAGGAGAGAATTAGTGTCACCTGTCGGCTCCGTTCCACTCCCTCCAACCTCACCTCCACCCCACTGACCAAGCACAGTCAAACCTCTTGGTGAAGTGGAAGTTCTTGGTCTGAGAATTTATGGAGCAAACTGTGTTGCTGACCTACTGACTTCTTCTGCATCCCTGGGCTCCTGCCCTCCCATCCAACGTCCTTGTAGAGAGCATCACGTGACTGAGTGGGGATGACTGGTGAGAGATCTCTCTTAAAGAGAGGAAGGACAACATAGCTGAGGGCAGACAAATGGGGAGATGGAAAAACAGGAGCAGATGTCTCTGTATACAGAGATACACACCCTGACCTCTGTCCTGAGACTCAGACGCATACATCCAATTGCTCTCTGGTCATCTCCGCCAACATCCTGGCGAGCATCTCAGGGAACGTCCCAGGGAAACCTTGGACCCGACTCCTGACTAAAGCTGGGTTCCTCAAGCTCTTCTCTTCCCGCTAGACTCTCCCCAGGTGATCTCATCCACCCCAAGCCTCTGAATTTACCAGTCACAAGCTGGTGACTTCCAGATCCTATCTCCAGCAGACGTCTTTTCCTGAGTTCTAACTGCTGATTTAGCCTTTCTACATAGGTGTCTCAGTGGCAGTATCTGAGTGATGCAAATGCTTAAGCGTTCCACTGCTAACCAAAAGGTTGGTGGTTCAAACCTACCCAGAGGTACTGTGGTGACTCCATGGCAACTGTGGTTTTTTTTTTTTTTTTTGGTCTCAGTGGCACCACAGTGGCACCTAACAAGGCTAAAATAGGTTTCTCCCCGGTCTTCGCTATCTCAGCAAACAGCACTTTCACCCACTGCCTCTCCCCAGTTGTTTATGAGAGAAACTTGGAAACCATCCTGAACTCCTTTCTCTCCATACCCAGTTCAAAATCTTTGGAGTTCTACTTCCCCTAGCATCTCTATGTAGAACACTCTTATTTCCCCTCACTCCTTCACATCCCCTTTAGTCCCTCAGATCTCAGTTTAAACACTTCCTTCAGGAAGCTTCCCTGCCCCCCTCCCCCTGCCCCTCACTGCATTAGATGACACTCCTGCATGCTTTCACAGCACCCTCTTCTGCCCCATCACGACACTGGTCATATTTCCTATTCACCAGCAGGTGGTGGTGGAGTGGGGTGTCTAATGTGATAAAACAGCAAATTCTCGATCCTAAAGGTTGGCTGTTCAAGCCTACTCAGTGGCTCCATGGAAGAAAGGCCTGGCGAACTGCTTCCATAAAGATTACAGCCAACAAAACCCTATGGAGCAGTTCTATTCTGTCACACGTGGAGGCACCATGAGTTCGAACTGACTTGATGGCAATGGGTTTGGCTTTTGGTTTTACCTGGAAGCCCTGAGGAGTCCCTAGGGGGTGCAAATAGTTAATGAGTTCACTGCTAACCTAAGGGTTGGTGGTTTGAGTTCAGCTAGAGGTGCCTCAAAAGAAAGGCCTGGTGCTCTTCTGAAAAATCAGTCATTGAAAACCCTGTGGAGCACAGTTCTACTCTGACACATGGGGTTGCCATGATTCGCAATCAACTCCATGGCCACTGGTTTTTGGGTGCTCTGAACACTGGGGAGACGAATGCCGTGTTTGCCTGCCCCACGCCCATACCCTTCCCATCTGCTCACCGGCCTCAGCACTCTCTGGACCTCCTGCAGGACCTTCTTTGGGCTTTCCACAGAACACAGCACCAGGGTGCAGACCACCACATCCATGGAGCCATCAGCCAGTTGTCTCATGTCCTCTCCGGAAGCCACCACAAACCGCTCATATTTGAGGTGCTTGTTCTCAGCCATGCCCTTTCTCAGGAACTTCTCAAAGCGCGGGTTTGGGTCCAGGCAGGTGATCCTGCAGCCGGGTGGGTAGAATGCAAAGTTGGCCCCGGTGCCACAGCCCAGCTCCAGCAGGGCCACATTCCCAGAGGCCCTTGCAAACTTCTTGATCTGGCTAAAGAGCTCCCGCTTCTTGACCTCTATTATGCGGTTGTTCTTGATGGTCAGCACGGCCATCAAGTAAGGGAAGTAGGTTTTGCACAGGGGCTGCCAGCAGCCCAGTAATGCCAACAGGTGCAGGGGCAGGGTCAGGAGCAGCACCAGCAGCTGCAGGAATCGGACCAGGGCATCCATGGTAGACCAGCTCTGAGTGGTGCTTCTGTGGGCACAGGCCTTTTCTTTCTATCCAGCCTTTGCAGACTCCCCGCTTCCCCTTCTACCGTGTGATAGGACTTTGCTCTCCAATTCCTGCTTGGCGATTTCCTCCTTATCAGGGTGGACAGGGTGTCTGGAATTCCTCCAGAGGGCACAGGTTCCATTGCCCCACAGGCTCTTCAACCAGTTTTATGTGGATGAAGGGACAAGTCGTGCCAATGTATCCTGAGTTCTGGGGTGCTGTGCCCAGCTGGAGGGTGGGGTGTTCCAGAGAGGGAGGCAGGAAGGAGGAAAGGGGATATGTCTCAGATCACAGGCTCATGGCAGACAAATGCTGGGGGCAGAGGCGACTCTTGGGGCATCTCCTGGCCCCAGTCTGTCCCCAGGTCCTGCTCTGGTTATGCAAGCTGGAAACTGGTTGGGTTTCCCTGGCACAGCCCCAGGGCTCAGTAAACTGTAACCTGCCTTTGCCCCAGAGAGAGACCAAACACAGAACATTCAGGGTAAGCCCCGATTGGTTAAAAGAAGGAGGGAGGTTATTGGCAAAAAGAAAGTCGTTTTTTTCAATACTGGGGAAACCAGCACAACTTGTACAAAGAAAGTTCATGGAAGCTCCATAGACACATCCAAACTCCCTGAGGGAATGAATTGCTGGGCAGAGGGCCATGGGGACCACGGTCTCAGGGAACATCTAGCTCAATTGGCATAAAACAGTTTATAAAGACGATGTTCTACATTCTACCTTGGCAAGCAGCGTCTGGGGTCTTAAGAGCCTGTGAGCAGCCATCTAAGATACTCCACTGGCCTCACCCCTTCAGCAGCAAGGGAGAATGAAGAGAACAGGACACAAGGAAAAGATCAGTCCGAAGGACTAAGGGACCACAGCTAACAAAGTGTCCACCAGACTGAGTCCAGCACAACTAGATGGTGTCCGTCTACCACCACTGACTGCTCTGACCAGGATCACAACAGAGGGTTCTGGACAGAGCTGGAGAAGGATGTAGAACAAATTCTAATACACACACAAAAAAAGACCAGATTTACTGGCCTGAAAGAGACTGGAGAAACCCCGAGAGTATGGCCCCCAGACACCCTTTTAGCTCAGTGGTGAAGTCACTCCCGAGGTTCACTGTTCCGTCGGGGATTGGA